TCTGAACACATTTCTGCATTATACTTCAGTTAATTATCTTTATTTTGATGTCTGGTAGAATCCAAATGGTATGCACCACTCTAAATATATTGCATAGAGGATTCAATAATTTAGAGGGAGATTTCATTTTTGAAAGGTCAGGCACATACCAAGTACCTGTGTACATACAGAAAAGGCGCATTTGCACAGATGACTAGATGCCTTCCTCGTCATTTATGTGAAGAAGGCATCTGTCCACAGATTAAATTTATTTCTGGTTTAATTTCACTAAACCGGAGAAGTAAATTCTAATGTTATTTTCTAAGATGCAAAAGATGCCTTGGACCTTAGCATTTCAACATACTAAGAGCCGAACTACACATTGTATTAAATGCATAATATACAGTAGCACCTGTGGTTTCAAACAAATGGAGAGGAGGAAAATATTCATTGGGACAATTGTGCACAAGGAGGGAATATTTAACTCTTCCCTCTCCAACCACAATCCCAACAAAAATCCTCCACACACTTCAGGTACTGTTAGAAATTAAGCTTTCAACTCTGCCTTTTGTAAGGCTGACTATGGGCATTGTTTGTCAGGGTGGTGGCTGGGGAGGGAAGGGTTAGACCTCATCACCCTGCATCATTATCATCATTATTTCTGCTAGTAATGATTAGTCTTGCTACCTCGGTGAAACCCAGCAGGATTGTGGTGACTTATTCCACATTTAGCGGTTTTCCTTGAGACCTCTGTGGAGCGCTGGTCTTTGATCACAGCAAATCTTTCCACAATTCTACCTCAAGTGGGGTGATTTCCCTCAAGCTCATCACAGCTCCTTTGCCATAGAATTTTGTGAAGCGCTTATCAGAGGGCTGCTTCTCACTCTGTTGGAAAGAGCTTGGTTTTGGCAGGCATATGTTCTCTTTGGTGGCCTCCTCTGTGTTTCATATACCAGTGCCCAAAACAGAGCAATATCTGAAAACAGCACTTCTGAATATGGACGGTCTGATTCTGTACACAGCACATCTGAATTCCAAAGGTAGCAGTCACACCACTGAAGGGGTGAGTGGCTTGCCCTCACTGGTGCTCCTTTTCCTGGGGAGGTCATTTCTCCAAATTCTGCAGTGGATAAGAGAGTTGTTCTCTGAAGAAAATAAAGGATTCTCTTCCTTCTAAATCTATTAGTTTGGCTTGAGGGAGATCTTTCACAAGCAAGAAATGAAAAAGAAACAGAAGCTTAAATCTAAAAGCCACAAAAGGAGGAGATGCCACAGATCTCCTTCCACTGCTGTTCTGTGGGATCTCCTTCCTCAGTATCCTCCCCTGGTTTCTCTCCAGTTGAAGGGCAACATGTGGGTCGTGGCGGGAGCTAAGGCAATTACATAGAATCCAATTTAGGAGAAATTGTGGCACCAACAGAGCAAACTAGAGCAGATGGGGATGCACTTTCTGAATCAGTTGCTATGGAAGGCAATGAAGTGGGAGAGTTATCTGAGGAAGAGCTAGAGTCCACTAGCTTTCAGGGCAAGCTTTTTTCTTCAGATGTTTATCCTGCCTTGTTGGCAAAAGCTAGACAGATTTTACAGCTTAATGAGGAATTCCTTGTTGAGCCTGAATCTTCTAGTGAGTCTTTGGCTTCTGGGGTAGAAAAGGTATTTCCTTCAGCTTCATCTAAACCCGTTACAGTGCCCTTTCCGCTAGCCTTTGATAGTGTTTGGAAGCTGGAGTAGATCAGTCCTGATAAGCTGAAACTGAACCTCAGATTGGCTGGGAAGCATTATATCTTCCCCAATAAAATTATGCAGCAGTTCAGTTTCCAGCACTGCACTAGCCTGTGGTTGCCCTGGTTTCTTCTGTTGTCACTCCTTATGAGGGGGAAAGAGGGGTGCAAATGATTCCTATGATAAATTAGTGGTGGGCACATTGTGCAATAATTTTGAGGCTGATGCCTTCAAGTCTTCAGTCACCACTTCAGTCTCTGCTAGGGCCAGATATATGTGAGCCGAGGGGTTGGGATCACAGCAGGATATCAGTAAATCAATTAAGGATGGACTTATGAAAGCCTTTCATATGTCAGCCCTTATGCCTGTTGCGCCTCTGGATACGCTGCAGTTCAAGGCCAGGTCTATCTATGGCTGCTACCACTTTGGCATGTTGGGACAGTTGGTTGTGGGAGTGGAAGGTGGATCCCAGGCACCTGGTGACCACCCTTCCCTTTTCAGGTGTCAAACTATTTGAAGAACCACTGGGAGAACATCTTGTGGAAACACAGGATGAGAAGAAAGCTCTTTCCACTGCCAGGAGAGAGGAATGCAAGGGGAAATGGAACCAGTCCACTTTCCCTTCCATGTCCCTTTTCCAAGTCTCGAAAGTATTTGGGTTACAGGCCAAGATGAGATAGTCAGGGCAGGGCAGCTAGAAGACCCTTCTCAAAATCCTGCATTCTCAGAGGGGCCAGGAAAACACATCACAGCTTGCTATCAATCTGTAAATATGTGAGAATGCGGTGGTGGCCGGGGTACTACATTTTATCAACCAGTGTAGAAACATCACAGATAGATGAGTGTTGAGCACTGTGGTAACAGGTTTTTTGAGGGAAGCATCATCTCAGAGGTTAGGAGCATCCTCCACCATCATCTTCAAACATAAATTCATTGTAAAATAGATTTCTGGAAGTGTTGGCCTGACTGCAGAAGCTGCAAGTTTGTTTCTGGGCCCCGCTCAGATCTTTAAAGCCTTATATGGCTCAGGACACCTATGGCTAAAAGACCACCTTTTACCATATGAGCCTGACTGGACCCTGAGATCATCACTGGAAGCCCTTTTCTGTCTGCCATTTCGGAAACAGGCCTAGAGGATAGTAACAAGATAATTGATCTTTTCTGTAGGAGTTCCCTTACTCGTCTTCTGTCTCCTTGTTTGTCCTTAATTTTTGCCTTGCTCTTTAGTCCTGACTTTCCACTTGTTTCTTGATCCTGCCTCCTGGTTAGCCCTGAGGTTCTTCAGACTTGCACTTTTGGGCTAGCTACTGGCATATCCCATTCTTCTTTCTCCTGCCACATCTCTACTGTTCAGGCCCCAGCTGTGACAGGCAACTGGGGGACAAATCAAAAGAAATGGGAAATCTCCTGCTTGCACAAGCAGATGTGGCTTTTTTCTCACACTAGGATAGCATTGGATCCAAGCCTCTGGCTTCAGGAATAAAAGTTCCAGTACATTATTTTTACCGTTATTTTCCCTCAGCATAGCAGCAAAAGTATTAAAATGCTGGTTTACATTCTAATTATAGTCATACATTTTAAATCTAGAACTTTTTTGTAGCGGGGGGGGGGGGTTAGTATTGAGTTTTAAAAACAAGACCTACATATATTTATACTGTTTCTGAAAGAGCCACGGGTTATTTTGTAAGTAGACTGGTTTGCCTTTTTCTGTACAGCATAAGTTGCTTGTGATCAGTTTCAGACAGGGTGTGATTAAAATTCACCACACGTAGTTGTCGTTAGGACTCACATCTGGGTAGCAGTGCAGCAGCATATTGCTGAAAGCAAATAGTCTAGCAATTTTGATCGATAATAATGGAGTCTGAGAAAACACTGGAGGCATGAATAAGATTCCATTAATAACAAAAGAGGGAGAAAGAGATGTCTAGTGCAGTTCATTTAATGCAGAACTCCCCTGAGACTGAAGTGGGGATTATTCTTGCTGCCCTTCATATTCGACACAGGTGCAGAGGACGCTGATTGGATGACTGGCATCTCCATAGCAAGGATGCTCATACTCATGAATAAGAGTCTAATTATATCTTAATGATCTCTACTGCAAATAGGAAAACAAAATCTTCGCCTCTGCAAATTGTTACCTTAGTATAGCTGCAAGACTGGAGAAATTTAAATTATCCTTCTCTAATCTCAGGGGGATGCATTGTGAAAAATGAGGGTTGTTTATAGTAGAAAATTAAATTGCTGTAAAAGCTTATTTCAATAGACAGTAGAGGAACCATAATAAAATAATTTTGTAAAAATGGAAGTGAGAGCATGCTTAATGGAACATGATTAGATTTAATTTTCATGCTATCACAATCATTAAGGTGCATTATCATTCCTTACACCTAATTTAGGCTCTTTACCAGTCTCACGGAGTTACTTTTCCATGAGGCACTGAAATACATGTTGTGCTGGAAATAAAAATGACTAATAATGCAATATTGATATGTCCTCTTGAAAACATGGTTGCAGATCTTAAGTTGAAAACATCCTTAAGTGCAATCATCTGTTTATATAAACAAATGCTTATAAGGAAAATGAATTTCATGGAATAACACGAAGTTCAACATTTATGTGAAGGCTTCAGGTGGTGGTTTGTTTCATTAGCAAGGGGAGTCTCAATCACCAGTGCACATTTTCTCTCAAATTAGATCTGGCTTACCGTGCTTCCCAAGTAATCAAAGCAAATATTGTTGTCTACTCCCGAACAAAAGCCAATTACTTGCATTGATTCCTTACTTGTTTTACTGATTTGCAATAGCTATTGAGTATATAACTTTAGAAAATGGAAGTTACCTTGCCAATTTATAAGAGCCATGTTGCACTTGACTCCAAATCCTCTGATTTCAAACGGATGTTCTTGCTAAGTTGCCCATGAGTTTGTAACATGGTTGTAGGTTTCCAGTGGTGAGTAACTTTACTACCTCATGCTTCATTGCTTACATCTTAGCAGAGGACCAGAGCCTTTCCACATGATGTGGGCCTAGTTAAGTATTTCCATTACTGATCAATTATATAATCACATTGTTGAAATCAAACATTTATAAATCCATTATGATGTGAAGTAACCATCTGCACTCTCTTTCCCCAATATTAACTTGCATCATAAAATCAAAAACAATAATAAACAATACAGTTTTGGAATCCAAACAATTAAGTAATATATTTTGGTTCTAGATAGGCAGCAAAACCTGAGCTCATCTTATACATAGAACAGAGCTACAATCTGGGTAGAACAGACAACTGCCACATCCGTTGACTGAGATGGCTCAGTTGGTAGAGCATGAGACTCTAATCTTAGGGTTGTGGATTTGAACCCCCATTGGGCAAAAGATTTCTGCATTGCAAGGGGTTGAACTAGATAAGTCTACGGGTATAGGGCAGTATACAAATAAATAATGTTTTTAAAAATAGATTATCCTCATGGTACCTTCTAACTCCACAGTTCTATGATTCTGTTATACTATTTCACTGCGGGGAAACTAACATACAGTTGCATTACTCTCTTTCATCATGGCTACAAAATAATTTATTTCTCAGACTTTGCTAGAAACTATTGGTGGAATTCAACATTGCACTAATATGGTAGTTCCGTCAGCGCAAGTATTTCTGCTTGCCAGACGGAACTATCTCCCCTCTCCTCCCCCTAACCCTCCAGAGCGGATTTTGGGAAGAAGAAGACACCTGCAATAAAACAAGAGTCTGAAGTCTTCTACATTACTGGGGAGAAAAGGATAATTAGTCATGGAAGTGACGTTTTAGCCCTTTGTCACAAACCAAATGTAGATTCATTCTACAATTTTAATTAAAAATATAATATTAATTTATTACATTGATATAAAATATATAATATATAAATAACATATATACATAATACAAATAAAAATTTATACAATAGAATAGCTACCTATCTTTAGACTGTGATTTTGGCTTTCTGGGTGCTGGTAGGAATAACGTATACCAAATTCAGCATAAAACATTGCTGCTGCTTATTTTTTCCATAGACAACCAGTAGAGACATTGATGCTTGCTTTATTAGTTTTCACACAAATGCTACACCAAACAACCTTTTAATATGTAAGACATAACCACCCCCCCCACATCATTTCTAGATTACTGTATCTGTAGAAGACAATATGAGGACTTCACCCCCCACACACACTCCCAATAATTATCTTGTTTGCCAACAAAGGTCATGTAGAAGCTCAGAGAGAGAGATGCCCCTAGTAACTGCAATTTAACCAGTGTAATTTCATTAAGTGGAATAACATTACTGTGCGAAATGTCATGGCACCCTATGATTTAGTTAAATTATATACCTGAAATTAACCCTTACAGTGTGTATTGATCTGTCAAAGTTGAAAGATAAATACGAATCTATTCTCTTAGGAACTTAAATTGTTTCAAAACTCAATAGTACTGACAAATGTTAAGATCTGATTCATTAACGTGGACTACATAGCTAGGTTTCCTTGGGCGAGGATCCCTATTTGTTTCAAAATCTTAAAAATAATTTATTCCATCATTCTGTGCTGCTTAAAATGTAAATAAAAAGGCTAGTGCCCTAAAAAGTATTAGTTTTGGTGGGGGTTTTCCCCTCCTGAATTCCAATTTATTTATTTATTTATTTCCCTTTCCTTGTTATACCCTTGGTATTTCATAGCTGGCCTGTTGAAGCACTGAAGCAATTAGTTTTGAGAAGGCTGATTCTTCAGGGTCCAGTGCTTTCTTGCCTTTCATTTGCTGAAGCTGTACATTTTAATGAAGTTGTTTCATCTGTGTTGCCAAACACTAGAATTTTGCTGCTTCAGTTCTAATTATCTCTGCTGGCAAATGCTATGTTTTATTAAAGCTGTCAAGAGCACTGTTCATTAAATGTCCACAGTCTGTGGTGTCGTACACACAAATTAGATCAGCTTTGCTCATTGATGGATTGTGTAGAACTTAAATACTTTCTACACAAGCCTTAGAATCCAATGTAACAGCCACAAGCAACTCTATATGTACATATGAGAAATACCTACGACTTCATGATACTTGAGGCCGATTCAGACATACAGAAACTGATCTGGCAGTCCTTTCACAGTACTGTGTCATCTCAGATTTCATGCGGTGGCTCAGTTGCCACTGTCCTCAGACTTTTTGTGCTGCTCCAGGTTGTTTTCAGCACTCCACTGCTGGCTCAGTGTCCACAAACATGCTTCATTGTGCACTGGTAGAATAAAACTATGTTTCTCTCTATGGCGTATTGGTCTAAACCATACATAGCAGCCACTGATGGAGCAAGTATAAAGAGCACTACGCCATGTCTACTTTCAGACAGGGCTGTTTATGCAATCTTAATGCAATCTTAATATTTTAAACAGCATCTATACAACATTATTTCATTAGACAGCTATGTAACTGTTGATTGATTTCTGCTCAGAGAAATGTGGTATCATTAAAAGTTGTCAACCTTGTGAAAGAATTGGAGAGCTTCACATATTTTTCTCTATTATACTGATACATTATAAAGTTGGACTTTATTATCTTTTTATCAACTATATGGTGCATTGGACACAGACTGACATATTTATTACACAGAATTGAAAGTATTTAAGGCAAGGGTCAGCAACCTTTTTCAACCGTGGGCCGGTCCACCATCCCTCAGACCATGTGGTGGGCCAGACTATTTTTTTTTTGGGGGGGGGGGATGAAAGAATTCCTATGCCCCACAAATAACCCAAAGATGCATTTTAAATAAAAGCACACATTCTACTCATGTAAAAACACCAAGCAGGCCCCACAAATAACCCAGAGATGCGTTTTAAATAAAAGGACACATTCTACTTATGTAAAAACACGCTGATTCCCAGACCGTCCTCAGGCTGTATTGAGAAGGCGATTGGGCCACATCCGACCCACGGGCCTTAGGTTGCCTACCCCTGATTTAAGGCGGCATCATCATATGTCACTTTTATTTGGGTGATCTTTCTGCTTGCTTTGCCATTTGTATTTGGCAGAGGACATGGTTTCCTATTAGTAATTAGCCTTATTGTGGATAGCATGCTCTTGCCTTCATATTTATTAATGAGCTTGAGATCTAAAAATGTTTTCAGAATAGTATTTAGAGTTAAAATTCTTAGCAGTCATGAATCATTCTGTTTGGACATGCCCCTGTTTGCAGTTGGTAATAGACAGAAGTGTATCAGATTGGGCAACTGATGGACACACAGATTACTCACTAACTTTACTTGTATTTCTGTCTTATGACTTGAAGAAGTGCAGGGGAGGTTAGTAGAGACAAGCTGGGACTCGTCACCTATTCTCCTCTTGGGAAGCTTCAGTGTGAAGGTTTCAGACTATTCCCACCCCTTCTTGCTTCCAGAAGATGGGATCACAACCATTTGGGGCCCATCATGAAACGCTTTCCAAGTAACTAATACTTTTGTTTGACAATTATGAGGGTTAGCTTTCAGAAATAAATCTGCCAGATTATTCACCTTTATTTTATTTTAAATGTTTATACCTGCTTTTTCAACCTGGGCTTCCAAATAAGTAAAAATAAATATACAAATTAATATAAAGTGCAGTTAAAATACATCAAGGCAGCAGCAGGTAAAAATAAACACATGATTAAATTATTTTGAAAGCCTGGGTGAATAAAAATGACTTCACATGGCACTGAAATTTCATCAGACTTGTGCCAAACAAGCCTTAATGTAAGAGTGGTGTTTCCAAAGTTAGGGTGCCACACTTGAAAAGGCCTGATTTCTTGTCACTGCCCGTTTCACTGCTGAAGGCATGGAAACCTTGGGAAAGACCCATGAAGATGTAATGTTCAAACTGATTCTTGAGAGCACCTTAGATTACCTAGGTCCCAAGCTGTTTAGAGAGTAAAACCATTGCCCTGAATTGTGCACAGAAATGGACTGGGAGCCATGGGAATTATTTAAGGACTGGTGGAATGTGTTCCATATGTCTTGACTCCAGCCGACAACCTAGCTGCTGTATTCTGAATCACCTGTACTTGTTCATTTGTAACTATCAAACTCTGCAACATCTCATAGGCTGGATGTTCAGATGGCATTGTGTTCAAACATCAAGAGGCTTCTGAGTTTTCCTTTCTACAGGCTTTGTGCCTTTCCAGGATCAGGGTAGGGGAAATAAGGTTTCCAAGTTGACCATCTCCAGGTGGCTAAAGGGAGGCATTAGCAAGACCTGACTGACACTAGCATTACAGGATACTCCCTTAGAGGAGTAGCTGCTTCGCAAGCCTTTACAGGTCATTTACCCATTCTGGGTATTTGTAAAACCATCATGTGAGAGTCTATGCCCCCCTTTGCCAAGGGGTATAGATTCAACCAGGTCAATGGACACAGCATTTGGTAGAAAGCTGCAGCAGAAGGTTTTTGTAGAGGGTCTGTAGTCCCTAGACACACCATCCCTGTATTGGTACTGTCTTGCTATGTCTTAATGGTGTTCAGTTCCCTCTAAGAACCTCTTGGGAAAGCATAACTTTCTTACCTGTCAATTTCTATTCAGAGGCGCTTCTGAAGGGCATTCTTCTTGTCCTGGGTTCCAGGAGAGTTTCACATACTGCTGGGTGATCTAGATCCTTACAGCTTCTGCTGCCACCATATATGTGGGACTGTAGAGGGAGTGTTTTAGACTCACTTCCACACCTTGTCTCCCAGGCTTCTGTTTACCTACAGCTGATAATGCATGGTTCAATGCATAATGTGTCGTAGTCTGAGGTTTGTTTTATATGTTGATTTTTGAGGGGTTGCCTGATACTTCCAGTTTTGCCTGGGGAGTGGTGGGTGGTTTCTCCTAGCAGAGGAAGCAGGTTTGGATGGCTCTGTCTGTGAGCTCCAATAGGAGGTATCGTCCCACAGGTATTCAATAGCTCTGAACACATATTCACAGATAACAAATTTATGTTTTCTTCTGATGTTCACCACCCCTTCCAGCTTCTTCTGTTGTCCCCCTTTGGAAAATTTTAGATCTGTAAAGATCTGTTGTATAAAGTGTTGTACATCTTGATGATACAGCGGTATAAACATTTAAATAAATAAATCATATCAGTAAATGGGCATAGTCAGTGTTGTGATACACGCTTCAAAGTATCAGTAAAATTAGTTGAGTTCTAAACTGCCAGTGGACTATTACAAAGTTTTGTTTTATTTGCTAATATTATGCTAGGTAACCGGGCAAGACTGAGTGTGGGACACATACATGAACCTAAAAAGTGAGAGAACCATCAAGAGCCTCTTCTCTCCTGGGGGTCCTCAGGAAGTCATTGGGGAGTGGGCTTTGAACAGCTGGATAAAGATAACTCCCTGGAAGG